TCGAAGCGGCAGTAGAACTCATTCAGCTCGTTTGCCATTTTTATCTAAAACATAGATGAACCATTAAAAACATTAAAAGAAATGAATAAATACATGAATTTAAAAATGTAATAAATAATTTAAATAATAATAATGTCAAAATAAATTTTTTTTTAGACCTTTGCCAACTTTTGGAAAAGAAAAGGGAGGGCTGCTGATATTTCTAACATCATGACTACTGCCCTGATTGAAATCACTTTCACATTACTGCTACTGTGGCACACGTCAAACGATCGAAAGGAGAAATTACGAGGAGCACTTGAAGGCAGCAGCTGAAGCTCCGGTAGGCTGACGTGAACATGAAGGACGGAAAAAGTCCGGTTACACTGAAAATAATCCTCATAGGAAGCTCCGGGTAACGTTAACTGACTTCTCTTTAACCCGTATTACACCCTCTGTAACTAAAGGTTTCATTGCACTGATCTGACGCACACATCTGTTTCACTTTCACTTTTCACTCTTTGATTTACCGTGAGACTGATTTACTGTAAACCCCAATAGGTATTAACTGTTAATTAACAGAGCAGTATGATAACTAATGAAGGAGAGAAAGATTTGAGTGTGTTACATGGTGTGTGTGTGTGTGTGTGTGTGTGTGTGTTAACAGGGTGGGAAAATCCTCCTTCATGAACAGATATGTGAATCACCGCTTCACCAACATGTACAGGTCCACTGTAGGGACTGACTTCCTCTCTAAAACAGTCACCGTAGAGGGGGACACAGTCACCCTGCAGGTAACTCCTCATTCCACCTGCTCAGACAGTGAACACACCCATGGACAGATGGCTATATACTGTATGTAGGCCACTACATATATGCTGTAAATCTCCCTCAGATCTGGGACACAGCCGGGACAGAGAGGTTCCAGTCTCTGGGCATGCCTCTGTACAGAGGGGCCCACTGCTGCATGCTGGTGTTTGATGTCACCTCCAGAGTCAGTTTCTCTGCCCTGGAGGGCTGGAGGAAGGAGTTTCTGATCCAAGGAGAGCCTCAGGACCCATCTGACTTCCCCTTCATTGTACTAGGCAACAAGACTGACTTGGGCGACCGGGAGGTCAGTGAACCACAGATACTGGGATTCAACAGTGTTTTTAAACTAAAGTTTTATTATTTCATGTCAGGAATTTGCAGTCAAACACAGACTGAAAGGTTTAATAATGTGACCAAGTACATACAGGCTGCACAACTGGAGCTAAAACAATTAGTTTATTAACTGATCCACAGAAAATGAATCTGCAGCTATTCTTATAATTAGCCATTTTTAAGCAAACATTCTCTGGTTGCAGCTTCTCCAATGTGAGGATTTGATGTCTTTGTCTGTTTTATTCACTGTAAACTGGATGTCTTTGTCAGACAAAACAAGACTTTTTAACAGGCGTTTTCACTGTTTTCTGACACTTTATAGACAAACATATTCAATTAATTGAGAGAAAACTGTTGCATCCCTAGTTACAGCCAATGTGCCTCCTAGTCCTAATCCTAGTAATAACCATTTTGAACCAACCAACTAATCCTACTACACTTCAGGGTTGGTCGCCTTTAATAAGTACAAAGCACATTTCACTGTGAGCTGCTCTGTAGTTCTTGCAGTAAGCACTACTTTTAGAGTGTATTTGAAAATGTACATAAATGTACATGGGAAAGTTTCAAGTTGGAAGTAATTACTTCCACACTTGTTCAGCACATATTGTTTACATCTTTTAAATCTACAATTTTGTGACTTAAGCTTTTTGTTCCATTTTATTCCACATTATATGTCTTATATAATATGCATGCTGCCATGTGAGGACTGTTGTTGTCATCATGTTATTGTTTTTGCTTGCAGGTGTCTGGCAGACAGGCCCTGCAGTGGTGTGAGGAAATAGGAGCAGAATACTTTGAAGGAAGCGCCAAAGAGGATCTAGATGTGGAAAAGCCGTTCCTGAGAGCGGCTCAAAGTGGCTTGAAGCAGGTAACTCAGCCAGTATTTTTTAATTTTTTTAATCTTTGTAGCGAAAAGAAGAAAGACGCATAATATCTCTATGTTTAACATGTTTATTTTTTGATGATAAAAGATACATTACTCCCTACAGTACAAAAAACACACATTGGAAAATACAGGACATTTCCAGATAACCTGCAAACAGCCGAGAGAAACTCGCAACACCTGTGAGTGCTGAGAGAAGCACTCGTCCCAGTGTGGGAAGGAAAGTTCAGAGAGACCTCGGCACTGCTGATGATGACCTATCTAACAAGGGTGCAAAAATAGTGACCCAGCAAAGGTACTGTGGAAGGAAAGGACACAATTGTATACCACATGGAGAGAGGAACAAACTCATTAAATGTTTTTTCTTTTTTTTTGAGAACCTTCAGCTTATGGTCTAACTTAAGGCATCACTACTAAAATACACTGCTTTTGCATGCATGTCTAGTTTTGTTCAACAGACACACTGACACGCACAAAAATTATGAATGCATATGAAGAGAAAGTTCATTTCTAGAAAGAAATCAGGAGAAACCACAAACGGAAACCAAGGTGCCCAGCCGGAGAAAAGGCGGCGGGCGAGAACCTTGGCTCTGGATCTTCTGGGCCGTTACCATCACAACTGAATCTGCCTTTACAAAGTAGATATACACTCATGTCCAATCAGAAACCTCCTCCCTGTACAAGTTTGTATTGTTGAACGTAGCAGTGATTCAGACTCCTACAGTGAATCAGCTTGACAGAAGCAAATTAGAACAATCAGGGAGACTATATATATTTATATATATATTTGTTTCTTTTATAAGTAAAGACACAAAAGGCAATCAAGAGATGACCAACATGTAAAAACTGTTTGTTACAGGTAATTATATAAAAGGCCAAGATGTTTTTTTTTTGTTTGTTTTATTCTTGCTCTATGAACGAACTAATTTACAGGTGAGTACACTCCAGCTATGTAAGCTTTCTTCCCAAGACATCCCCATTCAAAGACATACGGGTTTACACGTCACAGTTAGCTTGCACACCATCTGTAGTCTGAAATACAGAGCCGTGGAAGGAAAAAATTAAAATTTATTAAATGGATTCACATACATCAATAGGATAGGGAAAATATGTCTACTAATATAATTTGCCATTCTAAAACTTAAAGAAGAGGTGAGACACCACATTCATGAGCATAAAAAGTATGTAGGATCGGGATATTAGGGGGGAAGGTATGAAAAGATTTGATGTTATTTTTTTTTACTTATACCCCGTGAAATTCCAGGTTTGGCAAACAAAGCAACACAAGCATTGAGTAGTAAACAAAGTAAAAACTCTCCTCTCCCTGGGTCCACTTCAAAGTTCCCTTCAGTCCTATAACCTCTGCGGTTCTACTTGGAACAAATACAAAAGTCTGTCTCTCTTTCATTACCATCTGTTAACAACAAGAACATACAACCAACTGAATGAAGACTTTTAAAAATATAGTGGCAACCTCAACATAGCCACCCATCTTCCCATGAACACAAACTATGGGGATGAACAACAGTTAAAAAAAGTGATGTTCTTTAAAAATGCACACAACATACACATACACACAGGAGAAAAAAAAAGCTTAAAAAATACAAAAATAAACTACACAAAAGATCTTCTGCGTCATTGCTTGCTAATTTTTTGGGAAGATTTTGCAAGATTTTTTTTGTGTGCTGCAAGTCTCAGTCCTAGCAAAGTCTGTCGTCCATTCTCTACAAATCTCTTCCTTTGTCATTCTTTTTTGTCCACTTTGAAGTGTCGGCCACCAGTCCTCATCTTGGGGTAAAAAGCGCACAGTGATGACATTACCAGGAGACTGGAGTCCAGTACGATGACTATAGACTTGGTTCTCGATGAAGCAAATTTGTTTTGAGCAAAAAAGAAAGGAAAAAAATTATGTCCTCTTTTGTTGAGGACAAGTGCTTTATTTGTTTCCATACCGATTTTTCCTCTCATCTAAACTAATGCCTCCACAGCCTTTTTCAACACTGTACATCATTTCATGTAGTCTCTCTCTACATCCCCCCCAGGATTCACAAAACAAAGACAAAAAAAAAAAAAGGTAACATTGCGCTCAGGCTGGCTCCCAGTTTGTGAAAGATGTAAATGCTTCTCTATACTGCTCAACTACTGAAACAAGCCAAAATAGATGTTAAACGATGGAAGGGGATGTGACTGAAAAAGATAATGTGCTTCTAAGTTTGTGTTGCTCTAAAAATAGTACGACCAACAGAACAAGGAGGAAGGAGGGTTTTTATCTACAGAAAACATCTCTCAGATTGACTTTCATCTCGGCTTCATACGGTTGTTCTGCCTCCATTGCTGTCTTGATCTGAGACTTGAGGGTGGAGGATGAGATTAAGATGAGGATGAGGAGGTGGAGGAAGGGTGAAGGTCAGTCTTCCTGATAAAAAGACAGCGAGTGGAAAAAACTGAATGGGAGGGGTCTCTGGGCAACCTCACTGGTCCGTCCTTGCTTTCTTTGGACCAGTAGCCTTACTGCAAGAGCACAAATAAAACCAGAATAAGTATTGCATGCTTAATTCATCTGTGTCATGTTAATGTTAATGTTGATTCCTGCGTACACAGCACGAAGCCTGAACACTGTACTTACGTATCAGGAGAGGTGCCTGGTCTTTTAGGGGCCGGTTTCGCAGAGGCGGCATCTTTGCCGGATTCTACAAAGCAGACAAATGGTCAAGATACATCTCTTTACCCATTAATGCATGGCTAACTTACTAATAGTTGAGTATTAGTGAGTCTATGTGCTCACCTTGGAGCCATCGAACTTGGGTGGCAGGACCGTAGCCCTTCTCATTGCGGGCGGCAATGCGGAAAATGATGGCTGGTTTGGTGGTGTAGTCGATGTGGGCGTTGGAGAGGCTGGACGACTGCACCAAGCAAGAAGGGTTGGGTCCACAGTACACGCGCATGAAGGCTAGCTGTGCTGGGGTGGAGGCCTTGGCTTCAGCTGTCTGGTTGCTCTGGATGGCCAGGTACACAGAATACTCGATGATCTTTCCTGACGTCACCGAGGGTGGCTCCCAGGTCAGGTGGGCACCATCTGGGCTCTGCAGAGGGACAGTTTTATTAAATTAAATACTACTCAGCAACTGAATGCGGGTTTCACACACACGTCAAATCAATAACTAAATAAGATGAAAACAAGAAAGGGCTCTATTGGTGTGTTTACCTTGCTGATTTTGATGGCGCAAGGTGCCCCTGGGAAGCCTGGTAGGCATGTTTTGAATGCAGATATCTCTGAGAAAGCTCCACGACCACAAGCGTTGATTCCAGCAACACGGAACTTGTAAGCTGTTCCAGGCTGCAGCTCCATTTTCTTCATCTGGCTATAGTCTGGCATGATGCCAGAGTCATCCTATTAAACAAAAAACAAGAGATTAGAGATGCACTGAGCACACACAACGTACAGTCATCTAAGCATGAAAAAAGCATACTGAGACACTTACATCTCCGTGAGAATCATCTGCTGGCACATAGAAGTGGGTGACAACCATATTTGTCACTTTGACGATTCCAACATCAAACCACTGGTTCTCTTTCTTTACAACAGGCTTCACTGGGGTTGGCTGAGGGCCTTGCTTCTGTACGACATAAAAAACAATACAGTCAGATTTCTTCTCTTTGACCTCACTTAACCATCCACATGTTGAGTAATACTAGAATGACTCACCTCTCCCTCGATGCCATTGGCGACATCTGCTAGAGCGGCTGCTGCTTGCAGCTTGGCCGGACTTGCCACCGATACAGAGGGTGCAAATGTGCTTGATGGAGCGAGTGCTGTGGAGTGAAAGGAACAATATAAAAAGGTCAATCTACTGTACAAAAAGACATCCAAACTAAATATAAAAATGAGCAAAAAAGCTGCTTACTCTCAGCAGTGGTACGTGGGAGTAGTGACGCCACAGCACTAGTGACTGCGGCAGCCATCTCATTGTGTCCATTGCTCTCGACAGAGGGGTCGTTGAGGCTGTCAGCAGGGGCGAGGCCCTCTGTGGGTAGGCTTGTGTCCACAGAGGCCTGCTGTGCAGCAGCCTGAGCTTCCTGCAGCTGCTGCTGCTGTTGGACCAGCGCTGCGAGCTCCTGCTGGGTCAGCATGATGGGGATGTTGGTGGGTTGCTGGCTTTCTCCAGTGGAATCGCCCTCATCTGTAAAACAGAAAATATTGAAGAATTCATGTTAACTCAAACCACGAAAGCATCATGACAAATTGTAAAAGCGAGGATGCAATAGCTTCAAACTTCTGGTGTTCTGAAGAGCCACCCTGTTCTTAATTGCTAAAAAACCCCACTTAACTACAGCAAGTGAGAAATCTGACTATACAAGACTATGGTTGAACTTACTCATTACAGCTTGTTGGGCTGCCTGGAGGACAGCTTGGATAGCAAGAGCCTGGGCTTCTTCAGTGGCAGCTGCCTGAGCAGCGGCCTCTGCTGCTGCAGTCACAGCAAGCTCCTCGTCCGACAGACCTGTCACCATCAGTGTGGCTCCCTGGCCCTCAGACATTAGCTCTGAGGGCAGATTCAAGGCTGTTGCTGCGGCTGCTTCTCCCTGAAAGACCACATTACAGGTCATGTACACACTGAATTCAGTGGAGTTGAAAATGTCATGCCAACAGTGGCTTTGTGTAACATTATACTGTATTTACCTCTGCTTGTGTCTCCATTGCGGCGGTGCCCTCCTCTGCCGGTGCAGCTTCTGCTGATGCCGTCTCATCCGTTTGCATGGGTTCCTCTGTAGAGCTGGCAGCAGTACTCACACCCTCTGTGATCGATGAGATCGACTGGAGAGAGAGAGAGAGAGAGAGAGAGGAGAGAGAGAGAGAAAGAAAGAGAAAGAGAGACAAGGATAAAACATACAGATTAGTGGCAATGGAAAAATGGTTACATCACTTGCTAATTTTGCCAGTAAATTAGTGCATTTCTTACAGGTACAGAGGGTCCGGGGGCCGGTGTAGACTGAGTGACAGTAGTAATGGCCCTTCCCTGGGTGGTAGTAGCCATGGCAGTTGCTGCAGTGGTGGAAGCCACTTCTGTGCTGCTGGTATCTTCTGCTCCCTCCTCTGTCTGCTGGGCTGCTTATGGATACAAAAACATAATTTAAGTTTGACCTCATACCAATAAATTTCATGTGGACACAAGCATCTACCAAAATACCAAAAAGTATTTTAGCCATTTCTGTTGTTGCAGGGGCAAGAACAAATGATTAAATAATAGAATATAAATTAATTAATCAAGAAAAGGAACTGTTTGATATTGAGCCAACACAGTATATGTGGGTATACCTGTGCCTTCGCCTGTCTCCATGCTACAGGTGGCAGTGGTGGCTGTGTTGGTGGTCCCAGTCTCGTGTGTTTCGCATGGTGGGTTGGAGCAAACCCTCTGGACCATGCCCGTCGCTGTGCTGGTCTGGTCGCCTCCCATGCTAGAGGTGGCTGTAGACGGGGTGTTGGTGGTCCCTGTCTCGTGCGTTTCACACGGTGGGTTGGAGCACACCCTCTGCGTGGTGCTTGTCTGGCCTGCATTCATGGTAGACGATGCCTGGGTGGCTGTGTTGGTGGTGCCCGTAACATGGGTCTCACAGGGTGGGTTGGAGCACATCTGCGGAACTCCTCCCATGTTAGATGATGCTGTGGTAGCTGTGTTAGTTGTCCCGGTTTCATGGGTCTCACATGGTGGGTTGGAGCACACGCGCAGCGCAGACATGTTTGAAGACGCAGTTGTGGCTGTGTTGGTGGTGCCCGTTTCATGGGTCTCGCAGGGCGGGTTAGAGCACACCTGTCCTGCTCCGATGGTGGCAGAAGAGGTGGTGGCTGTGTTGGTGGTTCCTGTCTCGTGGGTCTCACAGGGTGGGTTAGAGCAGACCAGGGTGACTGTACCGGAGCCCTCTCCAGCTGCTCCAGCCTCAGTGGAGCTCGGCTGCTCAGAGGTTGGTGAAGCCAGGATGGACACTGGTAGATCCTGCACTGGTTGAGCTTCTACACCACTGGGGGTCGTGATTAGGGTCACCTGGGTGGGCTGGTTCTAGGCAAGAGACAGTAAAGCAATTTCAATTATCATCATCGACATCATATAAGTCATGTAACTAGTTTTTCATATTCAAAGACAAGTCATTTTATTCTCTGTTCTCTCTTATCCCATTGTTCCTAGTTGCAGTTTTTGTTCTGTAAAGATATAGCCACTAACACCCCAACCATGGCAGTCTTTATCTTATCTTATCTTGTAATGTAGCAATTAAAAGCTTAAAATAATATTAAGTGTGCCCACTGTGATTAAATGTCCTAATGACTAAAATGATAATTACTGAGGGACAACGATCTGTAGGGTCATACCTGTACTGTCATGGTAGAGGAGGGCAGTGTAGAGGCAGAAGTTAGGCTGGTCTGAGCAGTTGACACAGTTATGGCAGATGGGCTGATGACCTGGCTGGACAGGGTAGCGATGGTTCCCAGTGTGGTGATTGGGGTTACCAGAGAGGCGTTGGAACTATCCACTGTGCCTCCTGCGAGGCTAGAGGAGACTGTACCAGTCACTGTCCCAAGAGTGGTGACACCTGGAAGGAAGATAAGTGCCATTCAAAATTAAAATACAGTTTAAAGTAAGTATACAGAGTACATTGTACAAAATCTATGATAAGAACATCAATGTAATCCAATTAAAAAGTAATTCAAAACAAATCACAAGAACGTAGTCACTCTTACCAGTAGTCCCCTTGACAACCAGAGTTGTGACAGTGGGCTTAACAGCAGACACCGTCACTGGTGTGACAAGTCGAACACCACCCACTGTGCTCATGGGCACAGTGCGCAAAATAGTGCCAGGTTGCCCAGGAGCACCTTTCAAAACCACCTAGAGACACAGAATTCAGGATTAATCTCCTCAGTTGCAACATAAATAGGCAGGACAACAAAGAGGATGTCTATAAATACTAATGCACAGACAGACTCCGTTTACCTGAGTCAGTCCCTGCTGGCCAGCTGCAGTGGCAAGTTTGGGCACTGCGGTGATGATTTTACCAGGAGTTCCAGTGGTCATCACCTT